CCCCAAAACCCCAAAACCCCAAAACCCCAAAACCCCAAAACCCCGAGTTTGACTTGCAGACCTGAAATAAAGTTCAAAATTTATATAAATTTAAAATAAAATGGTCAAGCTTGGCAAGGAAATTAAAGGAAGAGTCAAGAAAGAGACTGAACATAAGAGAGTTATTGTTAAAATCCTAAATCAAGAGAAAACAATGGAAGAACTTGAAAAAGAGCAAGCCATTTTGAAGATGAAGAGGGAGACCTTGAAGAAGAAGCAGGTTGAAGAAGAGAAGATGGCCCACTTCAATCGTATGAAGATTCTGACTCATTGGAGAAGAATTATGAGAGTCGCTAAGACTGAGCAGCTGAAGAAAGACATCCAAGTCTACCAGCAAAACCACGACAGAGAGGTTGATGCCAAGGATGCCATCTTACAGATGCTTGACAGAGACCTCGAGGAGGCAGATGAGCAATACCAAATGGCTCTTAGGAATCATAAGATAAGAATCGATCAACTTATTGACATCCAGAATTCAAGACTCACTGGGCTCCATGAAGAATTTGAGAGGGATCTCAACATTCTTAAGTCAGAGTTCGAGCAAGAAAGAGGAGACATCAACAAAGGCCATGAAATGGAAAAGAGAGAGCTTGAAGACATGATCTCGACTATTGAAGAGGAAGAAAATGCCAAACTAGCCAAACTTAAGAAAGACTTTGTTGAATTGAGGCAAGAAACTAAGAATGGAAAAGATGAAGAGCTTGAAGGCATGAAGCATGAGCTTATCAAGAAGATTGATCTCCTGGACCAAGACTTTGAAATTCAGTTCAGTAATTATGTATCAGAGACTGATAATAAATCTAACGACTACACCGAAAAACTGAGAACTAATGATAAGGACTTTGAAGAACTAACTGAGATTACAAGAGAGACTGCCAGACTTAAAGAGATTATTATGAACTGGACTCTCAAGAAGCAACAGAATAGTAAAGAATGTAGTGACAGAAACAACAAGCTGATGAAGGAAAAGGTCCAAATTCTGAAACATTACCATGAGTTAAAGAGGAAGATGACATTATTCAGAGAAGATGAGTCAAGAAGACTTACAAATCTTACCAAAAACTCCAAAGCATGCATGGATACTCTTAAGGGGTATCAGAAGTTGGCAGAAAGAATTCTTACTACTGCTGAATTATGTAGGAAATTAGAAACAGAAAGAGAGAAGGTTCTCCCGTTCTATGAAAGTGACAGTGATACACTTGAAGAAGAAGGAAAAGTCGGTTCTATCGAAGGAGTCCATAAGGATGTCTACAACGAGTTCAAACAACTCGATCAATTCTACAAGAGATATAATAAAGTGCTTCTGGATAAGATAGCTATTGAGAAGCAGAAGGGATCTCTTGATAAAGAGAATATGTTCTTCAAATCTCTTCTTAAACAGTACTTGGATGGTGTTAGCGTCAACAATGATGTTATGAATGCAAGCAATCCCTTACTGGTTGTCAACAACAAGGTTAATCTGAACAGACCCCCTGTCCAGAAGTTGGATGAAAACTCTTCAAACCCACGTGCTGTAGGAAATATAATGGAGCTTAATATGGAGATCACCAACATCAACAAACATACGGGTTAGAGCTAAAGTTATCTTCAATTTCAACTAAAGCTAAAGTTAATGGGGTTTTGGGGTTTTGGGGTTTTGGGGTTTTGGGGTTTTGGGGTTTTGGGG